GCCCAATTATTTTTGTTAATGCATATTATTAAACATTAACCTATTTAATGATCAACATTATTTTTTTTCAACCAAAAACAAGGCATTGCTCTAAATCAACTGATAGCTCCGCCCTTTCACTCTACAAGATGTCTACACCTTGTCAAGTTTCTAACATGTCACATTTAGTTAAGCTAATTAAATGGCCCTTTCAACATATAATCAGGCACGTGTTTTACTGAAATGTCACAGCTTTTATACCGGTTATCAATTGTTTCTATAAAATATGTCAGGAAAATGATGCAATTAGATAAACACAATGGAGTTAATAAAATGTGTACATACTTTTAAAATAAATGGAAAATGTGAGAAAAATACATTAGAGATTATGAATTGATACAAATTCGTTATTGGCGTCAAGTTATTCACTAACATTTAAAATCCCTGATTTGCTCATTTGAAAAACAGTTCACTTTTTCATTTTTCTGAGTGTCAATTTAGGTTACAGGTCCGTTTACAATGAGTTGTCCAGCCAAAAAATGTAAACATTGTATTCTTTGAATGTCAAGGATTGTTAATGCAGTTCATTCCTATCAACTGAATTTGGAAAATATAGAGTTTAAAACAGTCAGCAATTTATAACAGACATTTTTCTTAGAGTTAAAAGGATATAAAAAAAAGTTACTATGTAATCATTGTCTCTGCGTGTCCCACATGTATTATCTGTGTAATAACTTTGATTGTATCAAACACCTGACCTTTAAAAGGTAACGTTAGCATTGTTTTGAAAACCTAGATATTTTACAATTCAGAGTGCAAACCATACCTCTAACTCCTCCCTAATATAATGCATTATTGAAATTTGTTAGACTGCGGTTAGACGACAGATTAAGTGAATTTTATTTAGTTAGTACACATTAACCAAAGTTAGACTAAGCAGAAATTTGAAAAATACTGCAATGTGATTGGACAAAAAATAATGTTGATCATTAATTAAATTCAAACAATATTTTGCTCTACATATCAAATATAAAACAATATGGAAGTAAGGATCTATAAGAAGCGCAAGATTTCATCACCCTCCCTCAAATATACGTAACCATAAATACCCATTCTTGCAATATTACGACTGACTATTCACATACTAGTTATGGTGCCTTGGAAAGCAAGTAGAAAATAACGTCATGTTCATTTTCGTCCTCATACTTGGTGGTTGGACCATGCACAATACAATGTACAAGCAAAGATTATATGGGCAAAAATACTGTAATATTTTGGATGGAAAAAAAACGGTGTGTATTGTTACCTAATGGTGCGTGCATTAGTTCATTGATACTGTTGTTTACTCCTCTGTCAGCAGAAAGAAATATCTGTACTGGGGCATATAGTAGTGATCCGCCATGATCAATGTTGATATTGCGTTCAAAATGCGTTCCTTCGTCCTTCCAGTCAAAACAATTGATACAAACCTTCGTCTTACCAGTTACAACTACAAAGTCATACATATGTTCATAAAACAAATGATTATGATATTTTGTAAACACTTATCAAAGATATATTTTAAATCAATCAGAATTAGCGGCCCGACAATTACAAATTAGTCTAGTTACATTGTTAATATTTTTGATGTTACAGTATTTTTTTAAATTACAATAATTACAATTGTGAATATATGTCAATTCAAAATGCAAGATTTTAGATTTTAAGTTTTGGTGATAATTTTTACAATACATAGATTACACATAATTACTCTAACAATTTCAGGAGATATTCATGATTATAAGTTTACCTGGATTATCCTCGACTTCAAGCGTACAATTGCCGTTATAGGGAGCAAAGTTCATCGAGTAGGACTTGTAAGCTGTTACTTCAAAATAGCTTGGTGACTTTACACGACACGAAAGTCTGTATCTAGAACTTGGCCATTGCTCAAACAATTCTTTTGACACTTTGAAACCGGGTTCTTTTTCAATTTAATAAAAACATGATACATATTCTAAACTGGTGTAATATTTATAACGCATGGCCAATCATCAGTGTTTGGTTAATATATTGGGGGATTTGAATGTTGTATTTGCTCTTATTTGGTGTCTATTTTCAGCTTTAATTATGATATATTTTTACACTAGAAACATTTTTAAAGAAAGTTAAAATACAGATATTTCAATGTAAATCGAATCAATATCTGAACAAGAGAATAAGACTTTGTTTAAGCATCTATTTACTCCTTAACATTGGTTTCCCTGTAAACGAAAACTTCCTTTATAGCCACAAAAATGTATGCTCCATGATTTAACAAGAAATATTCGTTCAATTAGAAAAAAAACAAGATAGAAGTATGACAATACCAATTCCAGTTTCCACTACATCTACAGTATTCCAATTTACCAATGTTTCAAGTTTCCAAAAGTAGGAAACGTATCGTAGTTCAAGCTCGTCAACATCAACAATTAGATTAACTTGGAGGTCGGTTTGAGTTATCTTCTCAAAATTTGTCGATGTCTTGTAACTATTGGCAACAGCTCTAAAATTCAATTGGATGAAACAAATTAAAGTTAATACTTAAATGAATTTATTTAAACAAATCTTTCAAGCAAAACTCTTAATTTGCTAGCAAATCACAGTTTGCTAATCTCTTTACAAGTAAAACTATGCAAATAAAATAGTGAACTTTACTACCGAGCGAGTTGTATAGTTGCAAAACCAAACTAACTCGGGTGACAATAAACTCATGTTTTCAGTATACTTTAAGCTGAATCATGGTACTACGTATTATGATATTAGTTTTCCACCAAAGCCTAAAGCGTTCATAACAGAAAATATGATTTATTTTTCTACATTTATAGCAGCTGCGCTATCTTAAATATCAACTGGTTATTACTGTATATATATGGCCGGTACTTTCTTGTCTGTCACTTGTATGGCCTGAAATATGCTTGATTCTCTTTCTCCTCGGCTCACGGTAAGCTTTAACAAATACCACTGGTTAATAATGAACTTCTCAGGGGCAATACTAAATCTGTCAACATCTGAAATTAAATGATATGACATTGTTTTACTTACTTCGACAAAATTTTAACAGATTATGTATTCTTTCCTTGGAGGTCCAACCCAAATGTTTCCGAGAGAGCGTTGTCGGTTGTGTCGATAGCAATAATTCCAATAAATACCTAACAACAATTAGCGTTATTAGAAAAATGATTCTTTAAAATTAACCATGCATACATTTTTATACTTACTGCTTTATCGTTTGCGTTTTCTCTGCAGATTTTAATTCTTGTTAATAAAATAAACATTCTAAAATTGTTCATAAATATACACTAATAAAATACTGGCATTTTCATTTCATCCCTTATCTTATCAAAACAAAATATCAAACCTGTAGGTATAAGGTTGCTGCAATAAGTAGAACTGCCGATAATATTTTCAGTTTCCAGTGTCTTTAACACATCTTCTTCTGTCCAATCAGAACTTGTTTCACAGGACATCGTCTTGGTTGTTGAACTGAAACTAAAGTTGACCAAATCTTCAGCTGGATCCTTCGTTCCTTGTGTACTGATTACAACGAGAGAATTTCCTTCTTCAGCTTCAAGTGATATTCTTCTAATGTAGTTGTTGACATTATTAACCGTTATTTCCGGTAGAATGTCCGGAAACGTATAGTTCAGATACATAAAGTCTGATAATGACAAAACCTCACCAAATACAGTAACGTTTACTGCTAATTTAATTTTGTAAGTCCCTTCTTTCATGGTGTTCGCAGGAAATAATTTGGACGCTTGGGTTTTATCGGAACGATCTACATTGACGATGTCGCCGTTTTCATTGTATACTGTCCATTCAGTTTGTATTATCGACGATAATTTGCTATTGAGTGACAATGAAGCAGTAACCTTAAAAATAAAATGTGTTACCTTCTTTAATCATTAAGTTTAACGGACTTATATTAAGATACATGTTCTTTCAACCAAGACAGTTTGGTGCATGAATCACCTCAATGTTGTAACAACATGTTTGCAATATCGCGCATAAATCAAGAAGTTTGAACAAACGAACTATGGATAATGTTCATAAGCATGTTAAATAACAGCTATTTGTTTACACTGAATAAGTATTATTTCTCCCTGTGACGTCAGAGAAATATTCTCGCAAGCATATGGCGCAGTGAACTTTAGAAATCTCTTCAAAATTTAATACAACCTTTGTATTCCATTTTCACGAAATACAAAACATGATTTCTTTATTTTATGTTTTCTGCAATTTGAAACAACAAAAATTCAGAATGAGAATTATAATTATGTAGACTTTATTTCACTGATAAATTTAATTAAGGTATGAAATTGTAATAAGTCTTATCAAAGAAATAATATATATCGCCTTGTGAACGACGAACTGAAATAAGAAAATAGACTATCATCAAGCGTAATATTTAACATTGTCATTAAAAAAAAGATCCATCATAACTGCTTTTCATGATTATTAAGTTGAGAATATTCCTATATATAAATAAATTGAAATTTTAACAAAAGTATCAAACCAGATTTCATTATTGTAGTACCTTATAGCAGCAAAAATAGACGTAAGAAAACAGGAAAAAAGAAGAGACATTCCAATAGCAAATACTTGTAATTAAAATGTGGAAACATACCATTTTTTCTTTATTCGTTTTCGCTGTTTGCGCATGTGTGGGTGTTTTGTATACCTCATCGAAGAAATCACTCTTCAAAAAATCGTAAGTAACGAAAAAGTTTTGCTTCATGAGTTGATATAAGGATGCGTTAAAACTAGTACAGTTAACAGTTAGAGTGAATTCTCCTTTTTTGATACCGCTTTCATCCAAGTTAAAAACATGTGTTATGTTAGAGTCCTTATCTATATCACCGAGTACTTTAATCGTCTTTTCTCCGTAATAAAATGTACAAGTAACATTCTTTTCCTCCGTCGTAGAGTCAACAGGGAAAATAGTGACTGATATTGCTTCCGACCATGGATGGTAGCTGACGTTTAGACTGTTGTGCTGAAGTTCATACTTTTTGTTAACGGTAACGGACTCGTATTTGACGATAAACTCCTTTTGCCCGAAGCAGGATACGAACGCGTTGAAATAGCCGATGATGTCGGGCATTTCGGTTGTGTATGTATGCTGATTGGACACTCCTGTGCTGTATATTCTGACATCTTGGTCTCTGAGATCGTCCGTCTGTACGAAACATGTCAAATTAGCAGAAAGTGTATCAAAAGTGTTTGTGACGATAACTCCTTCGTTTAAAATATCGCTTACAATACTTGTACTGGAGATGTTCAAAGTGGATGAATCAAATCCTGCAAAAAAGTACGAATCAGAGATTGATGTGTTTCAAGTTATAGAAAATTTCCTGCATTTATATCAAACACATACTTGCAAATAAATTGCAAAATTTTAATAAAAACTAATTATATATACCTTTAAAAAGAAAGATTCTGGCGCACGTTACTCATATTTAACACCGTATACCGTCTGAAGAATCAATGTTCAGTACATGTGTATAATATGTTTAGTGTGAACGAGGACAAAATACAAGCTGAATGACAAAAGTTTTAACTGTAACCTACTTCCATTTGATCTAGAACGTTTTAGATGTAATAGAAGAGAAAAAATCAAAGATAACACCCTTATGAAAATAAGCACAAAAGAATCACTTAGGTATATATGTGTGCCCAAACCATGTTCTATTTCATAATGTTACAGCTCCTTATCATGCTTTTGCTCAGTAAAATTAAAGTTACATACATAATTGACGTACTAGTATTACCTGTAGAAACACTAGTAGATCTAGGTCTGTAAACCATTCGCAAAAAAGTGTTATATTATTTGAACCGCGTCACGACAAAACCAACATAGTGGGTTTGCGACCAGCATGGATCCAACCAGCCTTCGCATCCGCGCAGTCTGATCAGGATCAATGCTGTTCGCTTACAAATTCTATAACAAGTAGAGAAA